CATTCCGATACATTATTTGGGGATCTATATTCACGAAAGGAGATTAAGGTGTATACCTAAAAGCTGAACTCTTAAAATGCAAACATTTCTTATCAATTTAGTTATAGGCCTACATTGTTTAATGATTGTTCGCCAGCATTTCGATGCTTAAAACTCTACAATATTAAATCAAAAGATACACGTTAATATTGTCTGATACTAATCTTGCGAATTCTTCAAGTAGGAACTAAATTTAAAACCGGTTTTAAATCACATTTTTGACATTCTCTTTGAATAATAGCCGCAACTTTCTATCTAAAAAAGAAAACTAGACAAGAAATTCATTTTTATTTAGTAATGCAAATATTATTACAGTTTTTTTTAGTTGTTATACGTTGTTGATCCAGTCATATTTTCCTGTCTAATCACTTTCGATCAATAATTCAGACAAATTATTGTTTTATTTCTTTTTAGACTAAATGACTAGCCTTACATGAGTATCATGTAACCGTCTTCATTTGTAAAGAATTCTGGCGAATCTTTCTGTTTGAGACAACATTCGCATTTCGATGAACTTTTAAGAATATTTTTGTTTTAAATATAGAAGCGTTATTTTTTAAACATACAGCTTACTACGCTTACGCCTGCTAGCCAATCAGGTCTATTACTTCACCTTAACATCTACCTCACGTAAATACTAACAACCGAAAACAACGTTAAATTATTTCCAGCAACATTTCGGTTGAGTTAACCCCCGATATTTGTCTAGATAGACAAACCTTAGGTCATAACATTTTTAATACAACATGTTTAAAAAAAATGTGATAAAAGTTGTCGGTAAGCAGCCGAACCACCCCGCATAACATTTTCTAATCGGATTTGGCGCAGTGGGGGAAAGTAAACCGAGGCTCAAAGTACACTCGGGTTATTGTCAAATGACGTGTAAGTTTTCGGTATTTAGATCCTGCTATCGCCGGGTTGGCGTGGCAGCCACCTGGGTGTACAAGATATTCCAAACTATAAAGCGGGGTCATAAAGATTACCCGAAAATGCGTTGCTTGCCTGAAAAGCATCTATAGTTTTCAGTTGTTTTGAGGTTGAGGTTGGTGTAATTGCCGGAACGTTTGAATACAACACATTATTTTATATAAAGACTTCGTTGTTTAAACATTGCTATGCAATTTTTGTAAACATTTCATTGGAATTAGGTAATTTTGAACAAATATTATGTAATTTTGTTATAATTCCTTGTTGGGCAGAAAGTATTATATTTATTTGCTCTGAAATCCAAGTCAACATCTATTTTTTTCCGTGAAAGACATTGCCAAAGAGCAGTTCGTTCATATTGAAGAAACCACTAACACTAACTTTGGATTCATACAATATTACAAACAGAAGTAAAATTACATAAATAGTAATAATAAAGAAATAATAACTAAGTAAAGTTTAGCTGCCTTAACACAATTAGAATATTAAAATAAACAGCACACCGTGTTAATGATCGATAAGTAGGCCTATGGATGATTTGTCAATACAGTATTATTCATGAAAAGGTTAACTCTGCCAAATTATCAATCTGCTTAGTGTGTCCAAACTTAAGTAGGCAAAAACTGTTTTTTTTTTTCAATTTGTTTTATTATGGAGAAGTTGCAAGAACAAACACGTCCTATTAGTGTCGGTCTGATATTTTAAAAATATTTTTTATCACAGAAAATGTTGAAATAGATCGAATAATCCGTTTAAAAACTTGTAAACTTCATTTTCTAAAAAAATCAGTTTTGTTACAATGTTCACAACCAATCACACTAAACCAAAAAATGTAACATTTAAGTCCAACTTACGTACTTATTTTCTGTTTCCTCCTATAGCGTTATGCTAATAAAGTTGGTTAAATAATCCGAAGTAAAATGTGAGAAATACTCTTCACTTCATTTTCAAACACTTTAAGTAAAATTAACTTCTTATATTATAAAAAAATAATGTATGTAAAAGAAACGGTAAAAAAAAGTTTTTTTTTTTGTAATTTTAAGCAAGACTATATCAGTTTCAGCAAATTGGCTGAAAATGATTCAAAGATCTTCATCAGTTCCTCCGTCAACTGATAATCAAGCGCAACATCTTAAACAAGGTAACCAAATAAATAAACAAGAGCTGGTTGAATGAAAACCCCAACGTTAAGATGAGATGAATAGAACAAAGTCGGACAAGATAAAAAATGTCCGTCGTATGCGGCACCGGTGCGGTTGAAGAGACAGAGACGTGCTTCAGAGAATTATCCACAAGGACTCCTCCGTCAAAGACCTCTCCGCAATCGTTCAAAGAACTCTCTACAAACACACCTCCGTCAAAGAACTCTCCACAAGAACACTCAATTCTTTTAATCTCACGACAACTCTAACATCAATTAAGTCACCGTCCTTTTAGAAATACATACCGAAATTAAAAATTAATTCTTTAGTAATTTTTAAAATAATTATGAATATTTTTGACGTTACATAAAACAATTTCTAATCAGACATCAATAGAGAAATCACATTTCATGAAGATCAAGCGAGAAACACACTTGTGAAATCGATCCCACGTTAATCACAAGATAATCTTTATCTCCGCGGTGAATAAAAACTTTGAAATTTGTGTTCGATAAATATTTGTCATGGGAAACATCTACCCTATCTGACTTCTCCCTGATTTTGTAATGCGAGCGGCCAAAGTTTGAAACGGAATTTATTCAGCTTCCAGCCTTCTCAACTTGATAGCAGCGTAAAAAAAAATATTAGACAAGGTTCTTGAAATCTCCACGTCCATATGTATTATCGTATGACTAAAGTGCTCACTTCCAAAAAAAAAAAAAAAAAAAAAAAAAAAAAAAAAAGAAACCTAGAAACTACATAGTGGTTTCTAGTGCCACCCCCCCCCCCTTCTTGTCTCGACGTCTTCGCTGTAGAGTCCCAGATCTTAGCCGGCCACTTAATCTCGACTTGATATAATCACCCTCGTGGATTAGAAGTGCTTTTACCCGTGCTTGTTGCAATGAGATGCCCAGGCTTGGCGGCGTTGAGAGTCTCTCAGCCTGCTACTGTTGAATATATCAAAAGCTCCGGGGCTATTGTCGCTCTGGGGGCTGGCGGCCTACCTTTGAAATCGTGATGCAACAAAAGATGAGGTCACCTCTACGTTTTATTTTTTACTGCTACACTTGTGATGTTTCCCTACACAAATCTGTGGCGTCTTTGTGATTAGAGGAGAAAGGGATGCTCTAGAATTTCCTTGCTGTTGTAGCTAATTAGGTCTAGTAATTAATTAGTTCTATCCAGACAGGTGGAATTGTTCTCAGATAGTAAAAAAAATATTCTTTATGCCAACTGGTTGCAAGATGTATAAAGTAAGAATGTGCAAGATTAAATAAAAGTAAAGGTAGATGTTTTTAAAATAATTACACATTGGCAGATTTTTTTGTCTGCTTTCCAAAGCTACCAGCTCCGGAAATTCCCGTAATTACACGAAGTATTTCAGAATATTTGACAACCCGGTATCCTTGTTACACTTTTCATTAAGTTCAACGTACGATTTTATTTTACGGGGACTACACGCTTGCATAACTGAGTAAACAGACTACCAAAATAATGGACAGACGACCAAAATAATGTTGCCACTATTTCTGTGTTAGAACCGGACTATAACTCAGACCACGGAATAACATTTGAGAATCTGATCCATACTGGGTGTTGTTAGATTTGTATTGGATCTCGGCACCTTTTTCTCTGTTAAAACCGGAATATAGTCAGGGGCGTAGCTAGGGTAGGGCGTATTGGTGGTACCCCAGGCGACTGAATATGTTGCTACATTTCTGTCTACTACTCGGATCACAGCGTAAAGTAACTGCGGTAAATAAATTTAGCTGAGTACTTCTGCTTAGTTATATTATGTTTTCACACGTATGTGTGCTCGACCCCTCTTCTTTCATTGACTTGAACCAGATCATCTTTCATACGTTGCGTCAGCTTTAGAACTCTGAGACAATTCTCATCTGAGAAGTAGCCTGTAGACTCATGCGCTCTACCACTCGATTACCCAACCCTTTACCACCACCACCACCACCACCACCAACAACAACAACAGATTTTGTTATTCTTCAAAAATAAAAAATAAAACATTGCAAATATCTTGAAAATAATTGTTTAGGCTCATGAAAAAATATTTCTTTATATATCTACCAGAACCACTAATCCTGATCTTAGTCCTAACCCAACAGTAGAAAACAATCGTATTATATCCTTTGTCGTAACTCTGACTTGACTAGGAAGGAGGCATTCCCACCCCTGGCTGTTATAGATATCTGACTATAAGACATGAAATGTCATGAAAGCCGTGTATTCCATTTTGGGGTGTTTGCTTAGATTTGTAGTTTTATTGAGAGAAAGATGGAAATCCCGTGAATAGACTTAAGGGAATCTGTTGATGAAGGAGGCCGATTTTAAGGATTGTGTTTTTGGGGGCTGATTTTAAGGATTGTGTTGCTGGAGGCCGATTTTAAGGATTGTGTTTTTGGGGGCTGATTTTAAGGATTGTGTTTTTGGGGGCTGATTTTAAGGATTGTGTTTTGGGGGGCTGATTTTAAGGATTGTGTTTTTGGGGGCTGATTTTAAGGATTGTGTTTTTGGGGGCTGATTTTAAGGATTGTGTTGCTGGGGGCTGATTTTAAGGATTGTGTTTTTGGGGGCTGATTTTAAGGAATGGTTTATGGGGGCTGATTTTAAGGAATGGTTTATGGGGGCTGATTTTAAGGAATGGTTTATGGGGGCTGATTTTAAGGATTGTTTTTATGGGGGCTGATTTTAAGGATTGTGTTTTTGGGGGGCTGATTTTAATGATTGTCTTTTTGGGGCTGATTTTAAGGATTGTGTTGCTGGAGGCCGTTTTTAAGGATTGTGTTAGTCGTATAAAGGCCAATTTTATGGCGTGTGTTGGTGGAGTTAAGGCCTGTTTTAAGGATTATTGCAAATCTCCCAACATGTACTCACCTTTATCCGAGCTGTCGTCATCCATACACACCTGGTCGCTCATGCCGGAGCTGGGGCTGGCCAGGTCAGCCACGTGACTCTCGTACTCTTGTTTGATTGGCAGGGGCATGTTGTCAGAGACCAGGCCCTCGTAGTCCTGCTTCATCTGTAGCGACATGACGTTGACGTCATAGTCCGAGGATTTCATGCAGTTGTGGAGGCCGCCCAGGTGGGCCGACCCGCCCAGGTGGGCCGCTGACCCGCCCAGATGAGCTGCGGACCCGCCCATCATCATGTTGGAGGAGTGGGTGGAGACGGGGTAGGACAGGTTGGTGTAGGTGGGCGTGCCGTTGCTGTTGCCGTACAGGCAGGCCGGGTTGCTGGGTATCGACGTGTGCTGGTCGTAGGGGCGGGGGCTGGTCTCGTAGTGGTACCCCGGGGGCTGCAGGTAGCTGAGCCCCCCGGCGTAGTCCATGGCGCCCTGTTGCTCCGACCAGCTGAGGATGTCTTTCACGGAAAACGGGGTGGAGTAAGGATGGGTGGAATACATGGCTCTATCTCAGGCAATCAGCGAGCAATTAGTGTAATTAATTAGGCGAATACCTCGCGTAGATATTAATCAATGCAATCTCCGAGAGTTCGATTATAATCCCATTTTATTTCAGGTAAATCAAACAAAATTTGTTGGAACAGAATCGATCGAAGATGTTTGATGATCGATCATCAGTTTTGTTATTGATGTGTCAAGATCTTGAGTATCGTGTGACAAATGGCACTGCAAGAAAATAGAATTTAAAACAAAATTTATAATAGCATGACATTTTGGATTGAACTATATCAATCGCAATTTTGATGGATGTACCATAAAAAAATAGACTAGAAAAATGTTAAAGATAATTTAGAATTTCTCTGAAAATAGCGTAAACCATGATATATCCAACAACTCACGCACGTTAACACACACACACACACATGTTTGTTTTCTCAATATTTAAAAAAAAAAGAATATTTTCACCGAAAACTGAACTAGGGATAACCAAGCATTAAGGACATACAACGTTGCCTTTCTTTTAAAGATTATTAATTGTTATGAAATATGGAATCGAGGAAAAAATTTAGACATAATGAGTTATTTATATTCGCCTCATCGCCTTTCCCTATACTTCTTAATCAGGAACAAGACACAGTTACTAAGAAAATAAAACATTAATTAGTACAGTATATAGATCTATGTTTTGCCGTACGAGTTTTTCTTTTCTAGTTTTAAATGCTAACACGTAGGTTGATATAAAACTAAAACTGCAAGAACCGATAGACAGAACTATCTTCCCTAGACAAAACCTTGCATGAAATTATATTGAAGATTTTGTGTTGTATTATTTCTTCCGAAGCGTTTTTTTTTTTAAATTTACATAAAACCATTCCTTTGTTATTTCTTTTACAAGCAAATGAAAGTTTTAGATGCATATGTACAATTTGTTGGGAATACGTGATTCTAGCAGGATAGTACTATGAACATATTCCTTTGGAATAAGGAAACTACATTATGCATTATAGGGCGTGTGACTTGTTTTAATGATCTTCACTCTACCGATAGTTAAAAATTGGTTAACAACTCTACTGGAATATTAACCCGTGCTTATTGTTTATACTTCAGTAAGGTTAAAACTTAACAAGAAATTTAACCCCAACTTAAAAACAATCAGATACTGAAACCTTACCCTAAACTTTATTGTTATCTACAAACCTGAAACAGATACCCTAAATATAAATTTAACATTAATGAAAAACATAAGCTAAAAGCTAAACCTAAAGCCTGATCCCAAATTTAATCTTAACTAAAATCTTGAGCCAACGTTTAATATAACCCCAGGTGAAATGAGCGACTACTGTATTTGTTTACCCAACCCAACCAGTATTCTATTGTACCTGGTGGGCGCATTATGCTGACCACACGACCATGTTGATCGCTGGTCAACTCCGCCTGCCCGACAAGTTACCCACATGACGTCACACTCCACGTCACAACGTTACAACTTCTAAAAACCCCAAACGCTGTTTGAATTACAATGGACCCAAAGACAAGGACCGTTTGAGACTCCTTGATCTACCGGGCCGAGAAACGGAAGTGCAGACACCGCAGCACGCACTCACTCTGATTGTTTGTTTGGGTTTGGGTTTAGGTTTGGGTTTAGGTTTGGTTTCAATCAAAGCCTGAAGTTTCATTTGGGTACTGTAAAGTTTCTATGTTTTAACGTAAACAGCGGGCCGGCCGCTTCCTGTTCCAGGCCCACAGCGGACCAGACCGTGTTACTAAACACACCTCCCCCTCCCTCCAGTCCCCCCCACCCTGTTGTTAATCGCCTGGTTCCAGCGGCCACATACACCTGAGAAGGGGGGGGGGGGCATGTAGCTTGACGTCATAGCAAAGCAGATTGCCCGAGACAGCCAGCACAGGTTGTATTGTTCGAGGCTTAGATCATGCTCGCAAGAGTTAGTGTTAGCTCGCGAGGATATAATTACTTAATGGATTGTGGCGTATCCACCCTCCCCCCCACCACCCCCTCCCACCCCACCTTTCCCGCGCCCTCCTGTTGTTTATTTTCTTGACTGTTTGTTTCAGCAATTAAAAACAAAGGCTCCGGGCGCTTCTTGATCTCCCGTTTAGCCCTGTCAACTCCAGCCAGGGGTGGCGTCACTAGGGGAGGTCGGGCCAAGAGGGGGCGGGGTAGGGCTGGGGACGCATGGGGGGGGGGTGGGGGTAGCAGGTAAATTTTTAACGTGGTATATAAAATTTTGAAGTTTATGAATTATTTAAACCCCAAATTAACAGGTTTGAAATAATTTTTAGCAATGTATATTTGTATGAAGCTGTATAAAAAATTTGGAGAGAGAGAAAGAAAGAAAAGGGAAAATTTTTTTTTAAAGATTTGTATATAAAACATTTTAAATGGACTGTTTGACTAGTCTCTTGTAAAATAGAACTCTTGTATTAAAACTGTACACGACAGACCAACAATGACACACGTCCATCTCTTTGTTCAGTTCTCCCCTCAACCTATCGTTTTTGATAAGGCTCAACCCGAACCCTGCTCACTACCTGCCTCAAACCTACTGCCAACCTGTTTACAACCTGCTCACAACCTGTTCACAACATGTCACAACCTGTTCACAACCTGCTGCCAACCTATTCACAACCTATTCACAACCTGCCACAACCTGTTCACAACCTGCTCCCAACCTGCCAAAACCTCCTCCCAACCTGCTCACAACCTGCCCCGAACCTGCCGCCAACCTGTTCACAACCTGCTGCCAACCTATTCACAACCTGTTCACAACCTGCTCCCAACCTGCCAAAACCTCCTCCCAACCTGCTCACAACCTGCCCCGAACCTGCCGCCAACCTGTTCACAACCTGCTCAACCTGTTCACAACCTACTCCCAACCTACTCCCAACTTTCCTCCAAACCTGCCTCTAGCCTGCTCCCAACCTGCCCCCAACCTGCCCCCAACCTGCCCCCAACCTGTCCCAAACCTCCTCCCAACCTGTTCACAACCTGCTCACAACCTGCCCCCAACCTGCCCCCAACCTGCTTAGCCCTCGTGTAATGGGACAATTTTTCTGCACCTCTAAATAAAATGAGTAGCAATATGGCTTTTATCACGTGATACCACGGGGGGTCGCCACAGCGATACCCACCCCCAGCCCGCGACCTACGAACTCATCAAACAAGGGACAGAACTACGGCATCGTAAAAAAAAAAACACGTATTAAAAAAAGGGCAATTTTTTTTAATACGCTAATGTTGAGACTGGGGAGGTGAAGAAATTAAATAGTTTAGGGTGGAATACGGAGATGAAAGCGCTAATGATGAGTACGGGAGTTGGTTTGAGATTAAGGCGTATAGCGGGGGTGTTCGTGCAGTGGAAGACGTAGATGCGGAACTTTTTGACCCAAGTTTGTACCAGCCATGTAGGAATAACTGCGATATCGGGAGGAAATGAAAGGCGAGCGTGTCGAGATAAGAGATTTGTTTCCTTTCTTTTGGGTTTCCGCTGTATGTTTTTAAAGAATAATTCATGTTTTCTATCTTGTTCCTCGTAGATATTTTATGGGTTCAGCATCTTGTATAGAATACGTCTTTTTATTTTTTAGAGAGGTAGACAAATCATCTTTTGATTGAAAATTTTGAAATTAGTCCCTATATATTTACGCTAACATGTAAAAACAAAAAATAAAATAAATTTTATATTAAAAATAATAAACCATTCGAAACGAAACAAAAATACACGGAGTTGTTTAATAAATGCATACATTTTTTTAAAATATGCAAGTTGATACTTCATTTACTTCTAATATATACTTGAATATAATAAAATGGCTTTAAATTACTTTTTTATATCTTCATTTAACGGCAATTAATCCTTCGTTTACATATGTTATATTATATCTATTTAAGAGTTAGTAAAATTAAAAGCACAAAGCTAAACTAGTCAATAAGTAATTTTTTTCATAAAGTGCAACTATTGGTTTTTTTTAAACAAACCAGTTAGATAATGAAAAATCTGGACATAGACTCAAACGATAAGAGTTTAAAACTAATTTTTAAATAAGACTTTTTTCTTTAGTTGCCTTAGCATGATTCAGATTTATACTAGAGCTAATGCTTATCTAGATTTACATTGTCCAGAAATTTGCAAGACAAAGAGTACCAACGCAAATAGTTGTAACAATATTTTTTGTCTTTTGTTTCTTCAGCTAACTTGTGGTTTTGGTTGTTAGACCAACTCAGGACTGACTAGTAACATTGTTGTTGGTAGATGGGTGTGATTTGTGTTGACAGCCGAGGGTTAATAATAACAACCGAAGATTGAAAATAATAGCCGAAGGTTTATAAAAACAGCCGAGGGTTAAAAGCAGGTTGAAATCAGAGTCCACGGCCTATATGGCGCATAACAAGTTGACACGTATTACTGAATTGTGTTGCGGGAAATCTCTTCCAAGACTAGAAATAAGAAAGAAGAAGAAGTAGAAGTAGAAGCTTGACAATTACACGTTGACAATAACAGCAAATAACGTTGTCATTTATCAATAACCATCTTGTGTTGTTTATTAACAGTAACCCTCTTATACGGCTATGAGAACTCATGGTTGGTAACTCCAAAAGTCTCGAGTTCGAACCCTTAGACAGATGAGGCTCATTAGTTGTGAACAGTAACTCATCTAGAACCGAAAACTCCAAAATCAAACAATTTGCCTTCTTGTGTTGACAAAGGCTATGGAAGCAAATCCAGAAAGAAAAGCAGGCTGAAATCAGAGCCAACGGTCTATATGACGCATAACATGTTGACACGAAATACTTAATTGTGTTGATGTCCCTTTTAATATTACAATTAAGATCGACCAAGAAGACGAATTTACCTTCTTGTGATTTAAATTTCGACAATTTACATTTACAATAAATATGTATCCTTACGTTTTACTAGTAAAAAAAATCACCAAGAGCTATTTTTAATTTAGTTATTTTTTCCTTGCATAATGTAACAGTTTTGTAACAGAAATCATAAAGCGATATTATACAATCAATATTTGTTGATCAATTAATTTGTTGATAATTTAGAAATTGATATTCTAATTCATAATTTTATTAAAAGTACGGCTGATATTGTTTAATTTAATGCAAATTATGAAATACACATATATATTATTTTACGTTTCTTATTAATTTTATGATAAATTATAATTGAGCATGGATATATGAAATCTTTTTAAATTTTGCTAATATACCATTATGTACTGAATTGAGTCTGACTATATTAAATTTTTAAAAATTTTGCTAAAATACTATTATGTGCTGAAATGAGTCTGGATATATTAAATATTATATTGAAAATATAAAACGCGTTGGAAACACGAAAATATGTAGCTATTGTCCAGTTATAGTGTTATTGTGGGGAAAGTTTCTATTTAATATCAATATTAGGACGGCTAATAAAAATCAAGATATTGGTAAATTATTTTTTGATTATATACTTTTTTTTAAATAGGTAGGAAATATGTAAATTAAATTAGTGTTTACTAAATATTGTAAAAATCTGCTTTTAATATATCTTTAAAAAATTACAAAATAACAAAGTATACTAGTTTAAGTTGCAAATCTGCTTAAAAGTTGTACGAAATAAGTAAATTAAATTTGTGGTTCCTAAATATTTTTAAAATCCTGCTTTTAATATATCTAAAAAAATTAATATAATTTAACAAAGTAGGGCCTATGCATGTTGAAGTTACAAACGTGCTTATCATCAAAATCACCCCCACACATTTATTTGATTCACGCTATATTGCCTCGCCTTTAAAAAAAAAAAAAAACCGGCTGATGAAAAAAAATCTAATCTACGGCTTCCTTGGTGGTAAACCGGCAGCCGGCAACTATGTGCGAACTTTATTCCCGGTTAGGGCAGCCCCGGGGGGTGAGAACATTCCCGTAAGGTGGCGCTGTTTAAAGTCTGTTTTATTACGGGCGTGTTTGGGCGTCACACGATACATTTCTCCTGTCTCGTGGACGTTGGCTTTTAATTCACAGATTATCTCAGATTATCTGCTTGTTGGGAAAATTTAAATATTTTTTAACACACGGGGGAACTAAAAAGGGGGAGGGGGGCTTTTGTTTTTGTGTCGCTCTCATAACAGATAAATAAGAAATAAGCTTAAAATTGTATATACATTTTCTAGGGTTGTATTGTGTACTTGAAATCTTCGCGGGGATCAGAACATACCCAAAGACTAATGTTAGGCCCATAACTGTTTTTTTTTTTTATTTATAGTAAATATATTGATATATTGAAGCGATTTTTAAAAACATCTAAATAGAAGAGCTCGGGTAGACAAATTTGAGTAGCTGCTAAAAATAATTTTTTAACAATGTTGGTAGTTGGAACATAAATTTTATTATTATAATAAGTTATCGAAGTGATTTGTTAACTTTGTTTATTTTCTAAAATTACAATAAATTACTATGTGCTCTCAATATATTATTTGTATGTTTATTCAATCAAACAAAAGGGAGAGTGTTTTCTATTTCTAACTAATAAAAGAATGTAGTATCTTTTATAATTGGAGCATGGGTTGGTCGTTAGGTAGTTTTTTAATTAAAGAGCAAATATATTATTTGCATATTTTAACACAGTCAATCAAACAAAAGAGACCGTGTGACTATTTCTAACTAATTGAAGAATGTGTTTTTTTTTAAATAATTGGAGAATGGGTCGGTCGTCAGATAGTTTTTTAATTAAAGAGCTATTTTATAAATTTTTACACCAAATGAGGAGAGGGTCAGTGATGGGACATGTAATGGACACACGGGCGTCGAAGATTATCTTGAAAAAAAATATTTAGTTCATACAAACTAAACATGAACACACGCAAATAGATACGATTAACCTAAAAATGATCTTTAATTGGATTAGGGTTATTGCTATCTCGCACAGAGTTTCTTCCAGGCATCTCTCCCCCGAAAATTTTTTACCGCCCCCCCCCCCCGAACGAAATGAAATTTATATAATTTATAAAGAAAATATATACTTTTAACAGTGTCCGCCCCCCCCCCCCCCCCCCCGAAGAAAGTTTACCGCCCCCCCCCGAAAATTTCAAGTGCCCCCCCGGAGAAAAAAGTCTGGAAGAAACACTGATCTCGCAAGAGATAGGGTCGTTCGGGGAACAGCGGCTCGATATTAGTGAAATAGGGTTCGAAACCTTTATAACCTGAGTCAACACTTAAACTATAAACATTGTTTTCATTCAGTGCTAAGTGATGATACATCAATTTTGGAAGCGCAGCTTAGTATACACGAAAGTGAATTAGTTGATGTATTCGTATAGTTGGCTTAAATATACTAAACTTTTTACAACGCTTTTTTTTTACTTAATCGTAAAATAACCACTATTTATAAGCGGGTAGAACTAAACCAATAACCAATACGTAACTTTAACCAATAACCAATACGCAACGTTAACCAACCAAGACAGACCTGAATGAGGAGTCTTCTTGAAGAGTAGGAATGTTTGGGAGATTGAAAAATTTAACAGCCGGGGACCAGACAAAACGGAAGGGTATGGTTGAGGCCCTATGCTACACAAGGAGTAAAAGAGGATTAAGTCAAGTAAGTAAGTCAAAGTTAACCAACAGGCGTAGGTAGTTGAAAGAAGTTAATCTTGTTATAAAAATAATCTTGAATAGTATTAACGCCAGTCCTTGTTGATAAGCTCTACCACACTAGTAATGATATCAACCCTAAGGTCTGAAACCCCTAAACACAACTAACCCTAACCCTAAGTAGGTGTTAGTGGGTTGCACTTAACCAACTCGAAAAAAAAAGAAGTCAATGCTTACATCACGCCCAATTCAATCTCCAGTCAGCCCGAATCACGGTGTAGCAGAATTGCAACTTGTTTCTGAAGTGCCCCAAGATACACACCGACCAGCTTCAAGCCACGTACATCAATTCAAGTTTTTGTTCCGTTTAATGTTTTTTTTTCTCCTTCTCCTCCTTTCAAAGAACTTATTCCACTTGTCTGGCAGAAAATTTCACATGAAGATGCCCCTAAGAGGCTGACGTGTACGGGTATCTTCGTGGCTAAAGTAGCCTACTCTAAGGCCCTTTGTAAAGATGTATACACGCTCTACTCCTGCGCACTTATTGAAACTCTCACGGGTTATGCTTAAGACACGCGAGAGCCACTCACCCTTTTTGCGTATGAAGGGTCCTGACTATTGCCTGGAATATACTCGAACCGATGACAAGGAATGCGCGTACTAGATTTTTTTTTTAGAAAAAAAAAAGAAAAACCCAACGCTAGCTTGGAGTTCAGCTACGTTGTCATGTAATGAGGTAGTGACGCCCACTTTAAGTCCTGCCTGTCTTGTGGTGCGTGTTTTAGTGGTCTATCTCAACATCCATCTCTCCTCAAAGTTTGCGCGCTACACGTGAATATACTTGCGCAGATGAAAACGAATTTTTTTCTCCTTCTCTAGATAGTTCAAACACTATTTGATGATTGTCAAACGCTCCCACTTATACTTTTAATTTTACTTCTACGAACAAAAAAGGGGGAGGGGTGCTAATATACGTGAATTCTGTTCAGACACAGAAATAATACAACATGGAGTTGACCACGCCTACATCTAGTCTATAGGTTTCCGGTTTGGAAAAATATTCAGCCAATCACCGACGAGTTGACTAGGGTTGAAACGAAAGGGAAACGAAATGGGCGGGGCTAACAACATGGCGCTCGTGACCGCTGGGTTGCGCGTGTTTTTTGTTTTGTTCATGAGGATGGGTGGTCAAGCGTAGCGGTGATATTCGGCGTGTGGGTCACGCTGGTTATGTAAACATTGAAAAGTCAACACCAACAGTGGGGTTGGGGGGGGGGGGGGGCTGAGACTTTAGTTTCCTGAAAAGTTTGTAACATTTCTGCATAACGGAACAAAATATAATTACTCAACGATAATTAAATAACGCCTTTAAAAATTAGTTTCCTTTATCTTTTTCCCCACAAATAAATATTTAATTTACTTACAGAATTTTAATTAACAGACTGAGTAATTAAGGGTGGAGTGTTCCTCTTATGAGTGTCCGAGTGTTGTTTGTTCCAAAAATAGAAGTGTTATGTTGTTTTCGGTATTATGATACTAGCTCCAGTATTAGGGGTAGGGTTGGATCGTGTGTTAATGACGTCACGGTTGGACGACCCCCGCCCCCTTCACCACCCCATCGTCAAACATCGTTACAAAAAGTCAGATATCTTAAACATATCACGTCAACTTTCGCTCAACACTCTCCCCCCCTTTTTTTCCACACATACACACACATACACACACACACACTCAATCCTACACACTTACTTACTTTAAACTTTGAAAAGTGACGTCACACTCTCTGAATCCACTTTCAACAAGTCCAACCATCTTCCCCACATAATTATGTGACGTCATTTATGGACGACTTTAGACCCAGACATTTTGATAAGCTTTACTGTAAAGGCCTCTCCACACAAGAATTGTGTGTGTTTGTGTGTGTGTGTGTGTGCATTGAACATATCCGCACAGAAATTGATCAAATCAATGATGTCATTGGCTATACTTTAACGCCAATAATATCACTGACTATACAATCACACTAATGATGTCACTAACCACACACCCACTTTAATGAAGTGTGGGACCACATGTTGATATCAGTCATGTTTGTTGATATCAATCATGTTACTGACCACATGTTGATATCAGTCATGTTACTGACCACATGTTGATATCAGTCATGTTACTGCCCACATGTTGATATCATGCTACTGACCACATGTTGATATCAGTCATGTACTGACCACATGTTGATATCAGTCATGTTACTGCCCACATGTTGATATCAGTCATGTTACTGCCCACATGTTGATATCAGTCATGTACTGACCACATGTTGATATCAGTCATGTTACTGCCCACATGTTGATATCAGTCATGTTACTGCCCAAATGTTGATATCAGTCATGTTACTGACCACATGTTGATATCATGCTACTGACCACATGTTGATATCAGTCATGTTACTGACCACATGTTGATATCAGTCATGTTACTGACCACATGTTGATATCAGTCATGTTACTGCCCACATGTTGATATCAGTCATGTTACTGCCCACATGTTGATATCAGTCATGTACTGACCACATGTTGATATCAGTCATGTTACTGCCCACATGTTGATATCAGTCATGTTACTGCCCAAATGTTGATATCAGTCATGTTACTGACCACATGTTGATATCATGCTACTGACCACATGTTGATATCAGTCATGTTACTGACCACATGTTGATATCAGTCATGTTACTGACCACATGTTGATATCAGTCATGTTACTGACCACATGTTGATATCAGTCATGTTACTGACCACATGTTTATATCAGTCATGTTACTGACCACATGTTTATATCAGTCATGTTAGTGACCACATGTTGATATCAGTCATGTTACTGACCACATGTTGAAATCAGTCATGTTACTGACCACATGTTGATATCAGTCATGTTACTGACCGCTTGTTGATATCAGTCATGTTACTGACCACATTTTGATATCAGTCATGTTACTGACCACATGTTGAAATCAGTCATGTTAACCACATATTGATATCAGTCATGTTACTGACCACATGTTTATTGCAGTCATGTTATCGATCACCCGACTGAACAGATACTATTACAACCCAGATAATGATAGATAATGATAAGATAATGAAAAGCTTTATTCAATTAGCGTTCTCGACGTTCCTTTATCGACTTTAGAGTCCAATAAAAAAAATTCCTATCTTGGCCTACTTGAACTAAAAAATCTGGCATGCAATAAAATGTAAACTTTCTGAGGTTAACCAACTCGTTTTTATACTTTGATATAGAAATCTTAATTTTTTTTCTAGAAATGGGTTTTGGCAATACAAGTTTCTTGAAGGCTGATGCTAAAAACTTTACTTCAGTCAATTTCAATTTTAAATATCGCATTTTATCAACGTTTTTTAAGCTACCAGTTTTTAATGCGCCGACTAAATAATGAGTTGGATATTAATATGTACAGATGTGTATTTTAAAAAATGTGGATTCCAGCTCCTGTTAAAAAGTGTGTTTTGCTAGGGCTTAAGGGTGTTTACAATTTGGTTTTTTTTTTAATTCAATGATCAAACAACATATTTAAAAAAAAATCTGTGTGGAGAAATGTAAACATGGAGAATTTAAAAATAATGTATCGGTGATTTCATTGGGACAAATGTAAACGTATAAAAGTATTACATTTCATGTATCATCAACTTTAGCTTGATTTTAATTTTATTCTTTATACTGTAATTAGCAACAAATGTCATGTTGGTGAATATAAACTAAAAATAGATTCGGTGACGTATGGTCTACTCATACAAATACACACACACTTGCATGCTTGAGCGAACAAACGCAAATGTTACAGTCATCATACGAACACACCCCCATGTTTGGCCTTTTGTACATGTCCTGATATGTTCGACCTTTCGCAATTTTTACCGAGATCTTCGCTTTTATGCAACTCGAACCTGCGATGACAAAACCCGCTATTGTTTACGTAACATCTTAGCAATAAATACCATCCAGTCCTACCCATAACTGACCGTTAGTTAAAGAATTCTTAACCATTCTACATTTTTGTTTTTGGATATGATAAAAAGTGGCGCCCCAAGAAGTACACCCGCTGCACCACCCTCGTTACGCCACTTGAACCACAACAGGAAGATTTATTTTTTAAAAGCTAGCCACTGTGTCATGAACGTTGCTGACAGCTAGTCACGTGATACCCGCGTGTCACGTGGTGTTGGTACTTCAAGTCTTACATCATGTAGTTACTCGCACATCTACGGCCAGAGGGCGTAACGGAATATTCAAATTACCGATAACTATACATGAGGTGACGAATCTGGTAAGGGTTGATGTACCTGGTTTTTCGGACTAGCGTTACGGTGAATATGGGTGAGGCGGTGGTTAAAGTTAGGTTAGGATTAGAGCTTGGTAAAATTTATGATAGCGATGCCTAATTTCTGATATGATAATACTATTGCAACGTGTTGCAGCTCCCCAGCAACCTGTGTGTGCAAGAGTTGGTAATGAAAAGATGATCTATCAATGACATCACACTTCTGATGTAAGGGGGGGGGGAGTACTGCCTTGTGTAAAGAATGGTAAAGACAAAAATGACCAAAGTAATGCAAAAAAAAAAAAAAAAAAAATTTGGTTAAAATATAGTGATTGGGATATTGAGTAAACTTTTGTGATGTATTTCAATGGAGGAGATTAAAAATTGCTTTATTAAAAGCGTTCCGTCATTTATGAGGAATTAAAGTATAACAATGATTTTGTTTTAAGCCGTAACTTAACCAATTTGTATACGTAATTTAATCATAATTAGTGTATACATATAACTCTAATCATAATCCATGTTGAGACATAACGCTAGTCGTAATTCACGTGTACATGTAACACTAATCATAATCATATAACGTTGAGCAAAATCCATGTAAGAAAGAAGTTCTGTACAAAAGTAAACAAGTTGGCTTAAGCCCGAGGGTCCTCCTAAGTTATGTGTGTGGGGACGGGGCAGGATGGGGAGGGGGTATCATCCTTGTGTCGTCTGCTATTGTCCAAGTGTCAGTTTCACCTTGTATCCACGACAACGTGGTACGGCACCTCACAGAAGGGGTGTGTGGGGGTGGACGCCCGTACCTGCCCGTCATTGGACAACACAGGTTCCATGGTTACACTACAGCGAGGTGGCCGGACACAGCGGAGTGGACAATACTGGACCAGACGGCGTGACCTCATCGAACTGACCAGGTCAGGAAATGGCCAGAAAAACACCATATTTTTGTTGGCGTGGGGAGGGGGTAGTGTTGGTACCAGCTCGCGTGTGTGTTTAGTTATGTAAGGATTCGTGAAGGGGAGGGTAAGAACGGACGTGTCATCGTGGACTCAATAATAGAGTTTTTTTTTTTTTTGTTGTTGTTTAGCATCTCATGTCACGTGATGAGTTGGTAACGCCGTAGCCAAGTAACGGGGTGTTGTACATGGTGGAGGTGTGGTCGGGCGTTAAGGCAACTGGGTACAAGATGGGTCTGTTGTTGACAGTCTGGTGAATCCCCACTGGCTGGGTTAATTATACAGTCCATCGTCTGCTTATGTGATGATGTATTACGTGAAGCGAGACTGTCGTAACAAAGGATATTCGTACCATGGAACTTTCGTAATTCGAGATTTCCGCAATACGGAACTTTGGTAAAGTGGGGTATGAGTAAAGCGGAGTATATTTGCCTCGGGATTTTTGTCAATACGAGACTTTCGTACCACGGGCAGGGTTTCTTTCAAACATTTTCAAGGGGAGGGGACACATTTAAAATACTCCATGCGGGGGAGGGGGGGGGGGGTTCTTATACTATTCCACCAGCAGGGCACAATGCTG